GTCCGCGCGCACGACGACGATGAGCGACGAGCGACGAGGGACGACGACGACGACGACGACGACGACGACGACGACGACGACTGCGAACCAGACTCCTACGAGGATTCCTATGCGGACACCTATGCGGATCACGATGCGCACGGCGGTAATGCCCGGAACGCACTGGGGGGGGGAGCATTACGTCATAGGGGGGGGTCCAGGGCCATGACGCCCGTCATGCCCCAAGCAATTTGGAAGCGGGCTCCATCATCATCATCATCATCATCATCATCATCATCATCATCATCATCATCATCATCACCATCACCATCACCATCACCATCACCATCACCATCACCATCACCATCATCATCATCATCACCATCATCATCATCATCATCATCATCATCATCATCATCATCGTCATCACCACCACCACCACCACCACCACCATCATCATCATCATCATCATCATCATCACCATCATCATCATCATCATCATCATCATCATCGTCATCCTCATCATCACCATCATTATCATCATAATCATCAGAATCATCAACATCATCATCCTCATCATCATCATCCTCATCATCATCATCATCATCATCTTCATCTTCATCACCATCATCATCACCATCATCACCATCATCAACATCATCAACATCATCATTATCAACATCATCAGCATCATCATCACCGGCTGCCAAAATCGAAGCGGCCGAAGCCCAACGCTCGACCCAGACCCGGGCGCAGCAGCTTCTCCATGTCGACTTGTGTCAAAGTGGTGCAGGGGATGGCGCGGTCTCGGAGGCCACCGGCACCGAGCCCATCAAACAGGTGCCACGGCTCGGGAATACGGCATGCGGCAAGGACTACGGATCTCGACCGCGAGCCGTCCACCACTTGCAAAACAGCTCCAAAATTTGCCGTGAGATGATGCGCACGAGCCGGCTCCACAGATACGAGGACTCCTTGATCGAGGCCGCGGACCAAGCCGATCGAGAGCTGGTACGAACCGACGTGCTGGCCGGTAAAGGGCGCCTCGTGGCTCGACAGCGGCGGGCACCAAGACCGACCGACGCATCTGCGCTCGCGCGGCGACATCTGCGCTCGCCACACGATACCAATTTTACATTCCTATTCTGTGAAACAGGGGCGTCCTGCACGCGGCGCAGCTTCCGCCCAGAGCCCGAGCACAGCCGGCCTCCAGCATGAGTTGCTGTTCTTCGACACATATTCAGGTAACGCCACGGTCGCTCGCTCATCATCATCGACATCATCATCATCACCATATCATCATCATCATCATCATCATCATCATCATCATCATCCTCCTCCTCCTCCTCCTCCTCCTCCTCCTCCTCCTCCTCCTCCTCTCCTCCTCCTCCTCCTCCTCCTCCTCCTCCTCCTCCTCCTCATCATCATCATCATCATCATCATCAGCAGCAGCAGCAGCATCATCATCAGCATCATCATCAGCATCAGCATCAGCATCAGCATCATCATCATCGTCATCATCATCAGCATCGTCATCATCATAATCATCCTCATCATCCTCCTCCTCCTCCTCCTCCTCATCATCATCATCATCATCATCATCATCATCTTCATCATCGTCGTCGTCATCATCATCATCATCATCATCATCATCATCGTCGTCATCATCATCATCCTCATCATCATCATCATCATCATCATCATCATCATCATCATCATCATCGTCATCATCATCATCATCGCCATCATCATCATCATGTTCGTCATCATCGTCACAATCACCATCACCATATCCATCATCATCATCAGCATCACCACCATCATCATCAGCATCATCATGATCATCGTCTACATCATAATCGTCATCATCATCGTCATCATCATTATCATCGTCGTCATCATCTGCATTATCGTCGTCATCATCATGAGCATCATCATTATCATCGTCATCATCATCAGCATCATCAGCATCAGCATCATCATCAGCATCAGCATCGTCATCATCCATCATCAACAACAGCAGCAGCATAAGCATCATCGGCGTCGTCGTCATCGCCATTGTCATTGTTATCGCCATCACCACCATCGTCGTCACGCTTCTCGACCGTCTCCTCCTCCTCCTCATCCTCCCCCCCCCTCCTCCCCCTCCTCCTCCTCCTCCTCCTCCCCCTCCCCTATCCCCCTCCTCCTCCTCCTCCTCCCCCTCCTCCTCCTCCCCCTCCTCCTCCTCTCCTCCTCCTCCTCCTTCTCCTCCTGGTCCTCCCCGTCCTTCTTCCCCTCCTGCGCGCCCCCCGAAACGGACGGGGGAGCGGCCAGGAGCCTCCGCGGGAGCACGCTGCTCCTCGGAGCCTCCTCCGCGCGCGAGGCCTCGAAGGAGGGGCCAGCCGAGGGGGGCGTAACGGCACGGCCCTCCCGACACGGCCCTCGGCGCGGCTTCCGAGACAGACGGCTCTCGGTCATGTTAACTCAGGTCCCCCCCCCCGGCAGGGGCCCCAGGACACACAAATAAATACATACAAATAAAAAGGTTCCCCATAAATTCCCATATGTTCTGGGTTTTTGTCTTCCCCCCCACATCCCATATTTTCCCATATTTGCTGGGGAATCGACGATCAATTGTGTCTGTGTTTTTTTCCCTCCTGACCCCCCCCCAACGCGCACCCCCCGGCCAGCCACGCGTGCCCAGCCCGACCCTGCCCAAAGCCAGGGCAAGCGAAGCCGCAGGGGAAGGAGCGCAGGCGACGGGGCAGGGCCGCGGCACCAGGTCGCCCGGCCGCGGCAGGTACCTCTTGCGGAGGTTCTCGACGGAGACCTGGCGGTGGGGCGCGGCTGGGGCCAGCTCGGGCGTGCCCCTAATACCCCCCCCCAAAAAAAATATTGCTCCAAAATGCTCAAGAGCACTCCGCAAATCGTCCCCCGACTCTTTTTTTTGTTGTTACCATGTTTGAGGGTCCCCCCTGTACATGGACAGGCCCGACTTGAGGCTGGGGCGGAGGGCCCCGGACCACGAGGAGGGCCTGCGGACGGAGCCCAGTCGCAGTCGATGATACACGGCTGAAGCATCCCGTGGCCAGCCTGGCCGTTGGCTTCCCGGAGCGCACGCGGTTCCGCCCCCGTGCTGCGGCGACCTCCCCCTCAGGGGAGGAGGACGAGGAGCACCAGGCACGGCGTGGGCCGAGAGGGTACCCGACCTGACGAAGCACGCATCGATCCCGCCGGCGCAGTCGCTAGCACATAAAAAAAGTATTGCGGGGAGGGCTCCACGGAGCGATCTCGCTGGTACACGAGAGAACGAGTCCATTCCCAGGCGGGGGGGGGGGGAAGCCGCGAATTTTCAGGAATCGTCGGATCCTTCCGCAACTGGCAGGACCTCGCAGGGTCCTCAAGAATCCTCGACGAGTCCGATCCTGAGCACCATACATACTTGATTCGCCTCAGGGGGCAACAGCACATGTTCAATAATCTTCGGGAATAAACCAGGAAACTGTTGGAACCCCCCGAATCTGTCAGTGAGCCTGGAGAACAGTCAGGCATCCTTCAGAAAATCGGCAGGAATCCTCAAGAACCCTTCAGGGTCACTTTGCCCTCCTGCACTAGTCTTCTAGAGTCCGCAACAGGAATGTGTAGGAATCCTGAAGATCCTGACAAATCCTCCAGGGATCACCAACGCTCCGCGCGGATTTCTTGGATCTGCGCTGGACCCCCCTCCCTGGCGCGCGGAGCGCGCCAGGGGCGGCGCCAGAGGCGCCGCTGGAGGGGCCAAGCGCGGATCCAAGAAATCCGCGCGGAACGTCGAAAGTGTATGTTTCTCGTCCTCGGAGAAATAATAAAAAAATGAATAAAAAAATGATTCCCCATACTGATTTGTCCTTGTTCTCTGAGATTTCTTCTTCCCATCCACTTCCCCTATTTTCCCATATTTCCCGAAGGATCGACGATGAATTGTGTCTGCTTTTTCCCCTCCTGATTCCCCGAGGGCAGCCCATGTTCCAGACAGGAGGGCGTAAAACACGGCGCACTGGACACGAGTCGGTGGTCCTTAGGACGTGTGTTAGCGCCTACGTGTGCTTGCCCACCGTAGCCCTTCAATGCGACGCAGGCGGCGCAACGAAGGCCCACACGGGCCAGGTGCTATCGGTGGGGCTGAACGGGATTACCACACGCACGGGGCTAACACACGTCCCGAGGATCATCGAACATGGGTACCCTGTGACTCTGCAGGGTCGACCAACCAATCAGACCCTACTGTGCATATGAGGGGTTAGGGCAACCGAGAACCCAAAAATGTTGCCATCTATTGGAGGGCAACGTTTTACTTCCGCCATCTTCCGCCGACCTTCCGCCGACCTTCTGGCGACCTTCTGGCGGCGGAGGCGCCCTCGTTTTACTTCCGCCACCTTCCGCCGTCCTTCCGCCGCCTTCCGCCGAGGAAGAGATGGCAACTCCTGCGATCCTCGAAGGCGAGGCCCTGTTTGGAACGCTCCGTAGGTTAACGCCGCCCCTCCCCGCTGCCTCGGAGCCCGCACGCCTGAGAACGCCCGCGGCCACGGCGTAGGAGCGGCCGCACCCATCGACGCCCTCGTCCAGGGCAATGCCCGGCCCCGGCGTGCCGCCTGCAAGGGCGGGCGGATGCCCGTCCGCCCGCAGGGGGCACGCGCGCACCATCACGGTGCCTGGCCAGAGCCACCCTGGGCCCTGGCGTGGTGCTCGCGCCCTCCTGGCCGAAGCCAGGAGGGTCTGTGCACCCACCCCCCGGGCCCAGGATGGCCCTGGCCAGGCATGGCGGTGGTGAGCGCGTGCTCTCCGCGGACTCTGAGAAAAAAAGGGGGAGGTAGCTAGAACAACTCGAGCCGGATGTCCAGCTCTGCTTCGAGTATTGTGTAGTGTGGGGGCTCGATGGTGGGCGAGGTTTCAAAGCGGTCCCTGATCGTGAGCCACTTAGCTGGAGCAAGTCGAGCGTCGAAGCACTCCGGATCGCACCAGGGTCTTCTGCTCAATATCTGAGACGCCCCGAACTTCGCCTTGGAACCGCACGAACGGAGAGGTGCCGTTATCTTCGCGCTCTCGCTCAGCCCCCCTCAAAAATACAATATCTACATTCAGACATATATCTCAAATACAGCAAGACAAAAGCACATAACAAACAAACAGACAAGCAAACAAACAAACAAACAAGCAAGCAAGCAATCAAGAACAACAACAACGACAACAACGACAACAACGACAACAACAACAACAACAACAAAAACAACAACAACAACAACAACAACAACGACAACAACAACAACGACAACAACAACAACAACAACAAAAACAACAACAACAACAACAACAACAACAACAACAACAACAACAACAACAACACCAACAACATCAAGAGCAACAGCAACCACAGCAACAAAAACAGCAACAATAGCAACAACAGTAACAACAACAACAACAACAACAACAACAACAACAACAGCAACAACAACAACAACAACAATAGCAACAGAAGCAACAACAACAGCAACAACAATAACAACGACAACAACAACAACAACAACAACAACAACCACAACAACAGCAACAACAGCAACAACAGCAGCAACCGCAACACCAACCACAACAACGGCAGCAAAAACAACAGCAGCAGAACGCACCGCCAAACCAGGTGCCACAGGCCGCGAAGCGCAAGGGCGCGAGGCGCAAGGGCGCGGGGCGCGATCGTCTTGGCGCCCACGCAGGGGGGGCCTGAGAGTAGCCTCCGACGCCTTTCGGACGGTAGAATTAGGAGGCAACTGCTGGGAGGTTTTCGTCGGAAAGATTTTTTTTTACAAAAAAAAAAAAAAAAAAAAATGATTAAGCCCCACTGGAGGGCTGTTATGCCGGAGTGGGCCTCGGATTGAGCCGGATTCAGCGGGAGCAAGCGGGATGAAGCCGGATGAAGCGGGATTGAGCCGGATGAAACCGGATCGGATTAAGCCCGGTTTCGGACCAGGGCAAAAACAGAATTTTGCCTCCCAGGAGTTGCATCCGACGTAGAAGGAAACGATTAGTGGACACTCCCCCGCCCCAAAAAAATCAAGGTTGGCACGTGCGGGGAAGACCGCGGTCGAAGTGCAGCTCGTTCAACACAACGCCAACACTGAGCACTGGGCGGGGCGTTGAGAGATGAATGCGGCCAGACTGTCCGCTCATTTCTTCCGAGGCCAGGATGACGCCAGGGCGCTCTGCTTGCCTGACGTAGCACAACTGCGGGTGGGAGGAGGCAGGGATTGGAGGATAAACAGGGGAACGAACAATGACGCAAACATAAAAACTCGGAGGTCCGCGGGGATTTCTCGGATCGGCGCAGCGGCCCTCTGGCGGCGCCTCCGGCGCCGCCCCTAGCGCGCTCCGCGCGCCAGGGAGGGAGATCCAGCGCGGATCAAAGAAATCCGCGCGAACCTCCAAGTTTGTATGTTTATGTCATGTATCTTTCTCCTAATGAAGGGCGCGATGTCCACTTTCTGACAAGCGGTGCCAAGAATCAAAAACATCGTTCAACGATAAGTACTATCACGACGTGGAATGCCTGCAGGCAGCATGCATCGGCACTGCTGCCGAACATGCTGCGGCACAGGCGAAGAAGGTAATCCCTGAATGCTGACGTCGACCCCGATGCAAAGTGAGTGTCGGAGCGATAACGCACCCACTAAATATTCCCTCTGCCCCGTACCCCACGTAGCCACCCACCATTATCCCAACCCCCACACACCTACCCATCCACCACCCACCCCAATGGCATCTCGTGGGCGAAAAGCAAATCCGTATCCGCGGCTTCGCCGACCTTGCCTCTGGGCCGCGACCACGCGGATACGGGGCATCTGTGTCGCGGACGCCCCGCGCAGAATGCACCCGTGCGACCACGAATCCGCGGGATCGCGCCCCCGAATCCAGACCGCGAGGGCGCGGATACGGATATGTTCGGCGTCTGCCACCTCGTCCCTCCTCCCCACACTCCTCATCCCAGGAACCGCTCTGCGCTCTCGGCGCTGTGTTTTGCAGGCGCGTCTGCGGGTCAGAGATTCTCAATGGGAAGTGCTCCGCCAAGCTTTCACGATGCCCGTCCTACGAAATCAGGGATGCGCCAGTGTCGCAGAAGCGTCTGAACGCCACTGTTTTCAAGCTTCGCATCCACAGATGTGAAGTACCTAGCGTTAGCCACGTGCTGCAAAGACACTACCAAGTGTGAGTGCGGCCGTGGGATATGTTGATCACGAATTTACACGGCGGTGGCACAAGACCTACAGTTTGAAAACAATCTCACCTCCTTTGAAAACGACCTCACCTCCATCCGTATACACACTGACAGCGTTTAATACTAGTGTGCGCGGCACTCCAACGAGATACACGCTTTGAACACCATGGGCCCCTACATCCGAGTACGTGTTGGACAACGTGTAACACGAATGACACATTTGCGCGGCGCTGAGGCGAGACCCTTGTAGACACACAACAACAATGTGTCTGAGAAAATCTCTGGCGAAAAGCTACTACTGCACAACCGGCACGCATGGTGGTTCGACGCAAAATCAATTACAAGGATGTGAGATGGAGGGAACGAGGAGAAGGTGACAGGAGCAGCAGGAGGGAGGACCTGGGGGAGCAGAAGGGTGAAGGAGGACCACGAGGAGCAAGCAGGAGGGGGAGGTTTGGGAGGAAGATGACAAGGAAGAGGAGGAAAGGGAGCTTGAGAAGGAAGAAAGCGAAGAAGACCAGGAAGATATGAGGAGGAGACAGAAGGGACAATAGTTAGGACGAAAAAGCGAGGTGCAGGTCCTCACCCCCCTTCCTCTCCCCCCCTCCCCTCACCCTCCCCCTCCTAACAGAAGCCCAGACAAGGAAGAGCAGAAAATGCTAGCCTGAGTGGACCCCACACAGGAAGTTATTGCACCGTGGATGTGACACATCTGCGGTGCAATTCACGCGGTGCAAGCTATGCGGTGTAAGCTATGTGGTACAAGTTCTGTGGTGCAAGCCGAGTGGTGCAAACTCGACGGACCCCGAACCCCCCAAAGTGGGCGGCAACGAGGCGGCGACTAAGCAGCAACGGGCGGCGAGACCTCGACGGACCCCCCTCGGGGGACTGCAGCGAGGCGGCAGGGAGGCGGCAACGGGCGGCAACGCGGCGAGACCTCGACGGACCCCTCCGCGCATGGGCGGCAGCGAGGCGGCAACGAATTCGCAACGAGGCGGCAACGGGCGGCAACGCGGCGAGACCTCGACGGACCCCCCGAAGTGGGCGGCGACGAGGCGGCAACAAGGCGGCGACGCAGCGGAACCTCAACGGACCCGTCCAAGTCCTGAGAGGAACGCAAGGAAGACCCCCCGAGTCGGGGGCGCGCAAACATGGATCAGCGATCCGTGGATTTGGCGCGCGGTCACCAACTCCATGGATCGGGGGAGGCGCCCTCCCCAAAATGCGGCTGGTGCCGCCTCGCTCGGCGGCAGGAATCTGCGATTCCCAATGGAACGGGACCCGTCGTTAATCTTAAGTTTGGTGTGTCCCCCTACAGGGGGATTTTGGACGAAACAAACAATCGAAAATACCCCCGAATCATCAAAAAATGCTTTAACACAATCGTCTCCGTACTATTTCCCAACCATCATGTGGTGTTGGGTCCTCGTTTTGAAGAGACGGTGCCCCGCGTCTCCTTCCTTCCGTCCTCCTCCCCCCTACTCCCCACCTCCCCCTCCTTGCCTCTGCGCTCGGCACACCTCTCACACGTTTCGTAGCCCCACAGGGAGCTCCACCGAAGGCCCCAGCCCAGTGGAGGTGTCCACATGCGGTTCCCCCACCCAGGGCTGCGCTTCGTAGCCCCATAGGGAGCTCCACCTAAGGCCCCAGTGGGGGTGTCCACATGCGGTTCCCCCACCCAAGGCAGCGCTTCGTAGCCCCATAGGGAGCTCCACCGAAGGCCCCAGTGGGGGGGTCCACATTCGGTTCCCCCACCCAGGGCAGCGTTTCGTAGCGCTCCACCGTAGGTCCCAGTGGGGGTGTCCACATGCGGTTTCCCCACCCAGGGCAGCGCTTCGTAGCCCCATAGGGAGCTCCACCGTAGGCCCCAGTGGGGGTGTCCACATGCGGTTCCCCCACCCAGTGGCAGCGTTTCGTGCGGCCCCATAGGGAGCTCCACCGAAGGCCCCAGTGGGGGTGCCCACATGCGGTTCCCCCACCCAGGGCAGCGTTTCGTAGCCCCATAGGGAGCTCCACCGAAGGCCCCAGGGGGGTGGCATGCGGTTCCCCCCCCAGGGCAGCGCTTCGTAGCCCCATAGGGAGCTCCACCGTAGGCCCCAGTGGGGGTGTCCACATGCGGTTCCCCCACCCAGGGCAGCGCTTCGTAGCCCCATAGGGAGCTCCACCGAAGGACCCAGTGGGGGTGTCCACATTCGGTTCCCCCACCCAGGGCAGCGTTTCGTGGCCCCATACGGAGCTCCACCGTAGGCCCCAGTGGGGCTGCCCGCATGCGGTTCCCCCACACAGGGCAGCGCTTCGTAGCCCCATAGGGAGCTCCACCGTAGGCCCCAGTGGGGGTGCCAGCATGCGGTTCCCCCACCCAGGGCAGCGCTTCGTGGCCCCATAGGGAACTCCACCGAAGGCCCCAGTGGGGGTGCCCGCATGCGGTTCCCCCACCCAGGGCAGCGCTTCGTGGCCCCATAGGGAGCTCCACCGAAGGCCCCTGTGGGGGTGTTCGCACGCGTCTCCCCTACCCAGAGGTAGCGCCACCGAAAACGATATTCATATTTGCGGTATTCACAACTGCATATGGTTGGGTCCTTAACCAGGCTAATGTTTTACTATTTTTGAAAATTCCTCCTGTAGAGGGACAGGCCCGACTTAACGATAATCCACGCCCCCTTGATCCATGCTTGCGATCGCCTGACCAAGTGCAAGCTCTGTCAGGGGAATAAAGCTCGAGCCTCTCCACTGCTCCCCCCCCCTCCCTGCCCCTTCCCCAGACATCCAGCGGCTGGCCTCCACGGGGCCCTCGACCTC